CAAACGTTAATTTTGCTAGATTCTTCTGTTCTCTTAGATAACGTGTCCCAAGCATATTCTACACTTGCATCACAGACCTAGCAGTCTGGATAAAATTTGTGGAGCTGAAACATCACAATTACTCCGAGTAACTGGAGCGTGCAATACAGATCAGCTTGAGTCAGAAAACTCTTTGTGCCTCCCCCACTTTGGTGCATCCCTGAGCCTGCAAGTGTGCAGGCTGATGTCATACGCCAAGCAACAGTCCCGGGGAGAGGAGCTTGACTGGGAAGTTTAGCACTAGGAAATTAAAAGCTGCGGTTGAGGGGTTGCTGAGCCAAGCTGTGCCACAACGCGCTCAAAATGCGGTGCCTGTGTGCAGTCCTCAGACCCCTCAGCAGCGATAGCTCGTGCTCCATCTATTACAAACAGACACCGACTTCAGAAGTGTAAGTTGTGATTTTAAATGTATACGTTCTAGTTCCTGGATGTGCTTTCCTCATGTTTAAATGGCTCCCCCACCCCCACCCCCCCCCTTCTGTTACTGTAGGCACATCTGAACTTCTTTTCTTCTTCCCCCCAGTTTGATTTGTAGCTTTTGAGGCAGCTGTACTAAGAAAGATTTGAATATATTAATAGGGTTTAAAGACACTTTTCATTGTGACCTTTAAAATATCTCAAGCTGTGAACTAACTCTAGTCTGGAGTAGGGAGGACTCCAGCTCAAGATTTCAGGATAAATGAAGCACAGGACTTTTGTATGCTTCTCTGCATTTTATTCTGTAAAATGACGCAAGTAGTGAACTCAAATCTCAGCTGCCTCTTTCTGAAAAGCTACTTATTTAGGCAGCTGTGACTAAGTTGATGATTTCACTGTTCAGAAGTTTTTCCTGTTCAGCTAAATGATACCTTTTTAAAAAACGTGCTGCTTAGCTGTGAGCCAGGGTTTTATATAGCATATACTGCCTAGGAGCGCGGTACTTGCAGGCATCAATTGAAATTGTGACATGAAAGAGCCATTGTCTTTGGCAAAGCAGCTGCTCTCTTAAGCTAAAGATACCGACTTTTAACCTGCCATTAATAAAAAAAACAGTTGTAAACCGTTGTCGTATTCAAACAGTATTTTAACCCACCCATATTTTGATGAAAGTAAACCTTTCTGTTACGTTCTGTTGTATTTGTCCTTTGTGAATAAATGAGGGACGCTCACTTTGGGCGTTACTTTAGCTCAAAGCTTATTTTGCCAGATATTTTATGTCCACGAAGCCGCAGAGGTAGCAGGTTAGTTTGGCATGAGTAGACTGCTAACCAGGTCTGCGTGATGGGAACTGCTCAGGCAAAATTTGGGGTAGTATTATGTTTGAGTGTGTACGTGTTTGTGCTAGAGTTTGAATGAGCTGGCATGTCAAAACTTGTCAGAAGGAAGCACAGAAGTGTATGAAAGAAAAGAGTGTGCTCTTGGGAATGTTGGGAGGAAAACTACGTCATTCAGTTTTAATTACACCTGTTAACACTGCTCCCTGTAAAAGGCTTCCTGATGATGCCATTGCTAAGCGTGTTTTTCAGGACTTTGTGTACATTTCAAGTGAGCTGAGGTTTAAACTTGCTCCGTAGGTTCCTATGCTGTGATTAAGCAAAAAGGAGGTGATAAACAACCAAGTATCCTGTGTCGAAGAGCAGTGAATGGGCTGGAAACTGCTGCAATGTTGCATAACCACGGAGCATCTTTAGCTAAAGGCATTGCAGAGTAGACAGCGAAAACAAGATAATACCAGTTTTTTATTTCAGGTTTCCAAATAGTCGATTTTAATTCAGGCTACAGTGATTTTTTTCCCTGTTTTCTCCCACATCTGCTTCATAATGCTGAAGTTGTGAAGAAATGGAACAGTGATAATGAAAATTAGAAATGTGAATGTGGGTGAAATGGTAACCAATGTTCCTCCTACAGTAGAGGCATTAAATTAAAAAAAGGGGGGGGGGGACTGGAGGAAAAAAAGAAAAGCATTGTGTTGATGGGTAGCTCAGCAAATACCATTTATATAATGCATTTGTCTGCGCCCAGCAGTGTGGAGATGGTCAGAGTAATTAGGAAAGAGGCCTTCTGCGTCTTTGCAATCTCAAGACAAAAATCAGTGCTGTTCAGAACAATTGAATGGCCTGTGGTATTTGCAATTGGCATATACGGTAGAGTGTACTGGCATGTTGGGGAGAGAAGAGAAGACGCTTAGATATGCGTGTGGGTTGTGCTGCCTGAAATGGGGAAGGGGAGCAGTTAATGTGTAAAGGGAATAGTTGATAAAGTTAGGCAGCAGGGGCTGTGCATCTGGCTGAAGCAAATGAAGTGCAAAGAATGAATTTAAATGTTTACTTGAAGATAGATATCAAGTACCATGGGTACTGTAACTTTGATGCTGATGTGTGTGGGAGTGCTTACCAGGAGAATTGGTGCATGAAACAAAAGGCGGCAGTAACATACACGTGATAAGCGTGATATACACAATGAATTGAAATTTAAAACCATTTTCACATTTTGCTTGAGAGGGATGAAGCCACATCTGCCTGGTGGAGGTGTCGGCACTCTCAAGGGTGCCCAGCCCCTCTCTTTGCATCTTTAAAATGCAACGCAGGTGCTGGGAAATCCCCCTCACCCGCTTTCTTGACTCTGCAGTTGAGTACAGCAGAAATGGCACAAATACATTTGCTGAGGAGTGCCTGGGCCTGGTTAGAATGGGACTGAAGTGCTCTAAAAGAGATTGTGTAAAGTTATGAAAACCTGAAACGGTGCTGGATGTGTTTAAGCAAGGTAGTCTAAGTAAATACCAATTAATTAATCTGAAGACAAGTAAACATTGGAGTAAACTGTATAGAGAAATACTTTCTCTTCTGGGAACTTGGGGAAGCTTTAGCAGGCGTGAGGAGATCTGGCTGGGAGGGTGGGTAAAGCACTTATGAACTACGACCATCCACAGAATTCACAGAATTCACAGAATTTTTAGGGTTGGAAGGGACCTCTGGAGATCATCTAGTCCAACCCTCCTGCCAGAGCAGGGTCACCTACAGCACGTTACACAGGACGGCGTCCAGGCGGGTTTTGAATGTCTCCAGAGTGGGAGACTCCACCACCTCTCTGGGCAGCCTGTTCCAGTGCTCCACTACCCTCAAAGTAAAGAAGTTCCTTCTCATGTTAAGATGGAACTTCCTATGTTCAAGTTTATGCCCATTACCCCTCGTCCCATCCCAATGTTCTTGTTCTGCTCTCTTAATCTATTTCGAGAAGTGACATTCATAAGCAAAGTTTCACTTGTTCTGAAATGGGAAGTGTGTGTGTGTCTTGGGGGAGGTAGGGAGGTCTGTTTTGTCTTAATCTATGTAACTCTTCTATATAGCCTGACTCACTGATAGTTTGAGCATGTGTATATCCTATCGGTGTGTTTTTCCGGGGGAAATTGAGCGTGTCATGATTTGCTTTCACTTCTGCATGGAAACACTATGCCCTAGGTTTGGAGATACTTGCCCTTCCCTTTTTGTTAATGTTGCCATTATATACAACTGTTCCTCCTTTATTGCTCTTTGATGTTTGACAGCTTTTACACTTTCTAACAGTACTGAATCTGATAGCTGGTTAAGGCTTCCTTTGAAAAATGAGATTATGCCAATAACCAGGGAGGGAAAAAAAATTAAATGGTAATTCTGACTTACGGGGGCGTAATGTTATTAATCAGTAGAAAGTAAGGACTTTCAGGATATCTTAGAATAGAATTTACATGACTGTTAAGTGAGAATAATGGTTTTTGTTGTGGGTTTTTTGAGACCTACTTAATTTACTATAGCAAGGACTCAAACCATGAGCAACCCCATCTGCAGATGTCTAGAATGACACAGCTTGAATGTGAGACGATGTTATCTTTTTAATAAATGGCTTTCTGAATTTCCTTTATTTAGATTTTGTCTTTAGAATCCTGTGTCATTCTGCAACTTGTGTTTTTCTGAAGCCTGGAAATCAGTCTAGATGCTGCCATATCTTTGTTTTCCCATGGAGAGGGTTCATTTTGTTCCTGGTCGTTTAAACTTTTGAAAAGCTTGTCTTCCACCATAGTCCTCTGAAACCTCTGCTTCATAAAGAAGCAGAAGATGTAGCTATTTTAAGTTTCCTTGATAGCAGAGTAAGCTGAAATTCCTAGGATGCACGGCTTTTTTAACTGAGCTAATGTAAAAAGTTGAGGGGATGGTTCTTGGAAATTATTCAAATATGAAAAAAACATCTGGATAGGGGAAGTAGCAGTTCATGATACTTGGAGAGCATGGATTTCTTAAAACAGCTTTGCTGTCAAAACAAGTGTGTTGTGTAAGTACACCCTCAGTGAAACCCTAACTCGTTTGAGAATTGATTGCACGGTAATTATTTCTACTGTGATCTAACATTTGTATGGCTGTTGGTTAGTTGGTCATTTTTCAATAACACCTTGGATATGTGAGATCAGGTCATTAAACATGCAATTGTGGGAGGAAAAAAAGTTTTGAAACATTCTGTGTCTTCCCATTAGTGCCTGACACCTTAAAAATATTGATGCTTTGTTAAATATGAAGCTGTTTGACTCATGCTTGGTCATTACCTGTGTAAACCAGCTCTGATGTAAACCTGGTCAGATGTCATTTTACTAGAATAAAGAGCTGAGTAATAAAATGTAGCGCAAATGGCTTTATCCTGTAATTGTTGCTTGGATGGGGGAGCATTTAAGAGCTGTCTTTGAGCATCAGTTGCCTAGACTGGTGGGTTTGATCCTATATCTGTTGTTCCCTGGATGGACCCCAGATCTGCAAATGTCATTGTTCCTGTATTTTATTTAATGCAGAAACTGATTGCAGCACTGAAGTCATACTTGAATTACTTGCTGATTTATTTGGCCTCTTGTTTTATTGGCAGAAGTCATTGCAGATGAAAGACTGAAGTGAAGAATCCAATGTAATTTTAATTGTCTTGGTAATTTGATGTTAATTTGCTTAAATATCTTGTGTACACAGTGAGGAGCTAGGAGAATTCATGGAGACGAAAGGTGCCAACAGCCCTGGGATCCTTGTACTGACCACTGGCCTCAGCAAACCTTTTATGCGTCTGGATAAATACCCCACGTTACTCAAAGAACTTGAAAGGCACATGGAGGTATATCTTATCAGCATTTATGTTCCAGCTTAATGATGATTTGACAACAATTATTTTAAAGGTACATGTCAAACATGATGGGACCCAAAATTACATTTGTTTGCTCTTCCATCAGCCTTCGAAAATATGAGCTGCAATGGTTTAAAACTGAGTGCAGTAAACTTCCTGTAAAAGCTAAACTTAAAGTAAATCTAGCCTGAGAAGCTAATCTTCACTTCTAGAACAATCTTGCAGGGTCTTTGGTTGACTTGACATTGAATGTGTCTCCTTCATACAACTTGAGGTTACTTTATCTTGTAGGAGTGCTGCTTCTCATCTTAGGACCTCAGCGTGTCGAACACATGACCGAAATAGTCCCTTTGACTTCTACTGAGCATTGTCCAAAAATGATCTTTCCAATATGGGAAGGTGTTTGAAGAGCTACAGTTTCCACCTTTGCATTTTATAGGTTAGATTTCTTGAGTGTGAAGGAGGGAGAGAAATAGAAAGAGTATGGGTCTTTGTCTTGTCACACAATTTGGTTTGTCCGTTAGTGACAATCAAACATACTAGTCTGTAAGGAATCTAGTTTTCGACAAAGCTAATGTGCTAAATAAAACTTTTTAAAATAAATGTGATTCTGTGAAACACTTTCTTATTATGATTTCAAAATCTCTTGTCCCCTAGGTCTTGTAAAACTTCCTTGGCTCTATTTTAAGCATAAGTAGGAATGTTATAAATTACTCTTGATTTTTACTACAAGCCACCAGTGTTTGATATAAGAATAAGAAGGCCGTGAAAAGAGAACAGATAACTCTACAACTTCTATTTTGCAGAATTGTTTATTTGCTTTTAGTTAAGCCTCTAAAAATTTTGTGCTAACTTAACTAGAACTAAAGTTTTTGTTGTGTGTTTTCTCCATTGTTTTTAGGACTATCATCCGGATCGCCCAGATATTCAAAAATCCATGACTGCCTTCAAAAATCTTTCTGTAAGAGTGATTAAAAAATAGATAATTTATTTTAAGGAGAGTGTTTTTTAATTTCAACCCCCTCTATTGCTTTAAAAAAGTGAAGCCTTTTTGTAAATGTTCGTATAAGAAATTTTTGAGAGCGTGGAAATTGATGCTGTTTGTGGGTAGAGCCTGAGGGTGGTAATTTGCTGGGGAGTTATAGCAAATAGACTATTGATGCAAGAGCCACAAAAGCATTCTGCACCTCTCAGTCTGCCCTCTTGTGCTTTGTTTCCCTTTCTACTGGTGCTATCATAACTAGTGTCCTGAAGAACACTGTTTCCTGTTAGGAGTGTGTGCTGGTGGTAACCTAGCATTTTCTATTTTCTAAAGCAGAAATCTTGCGTTATCTTTGTTCAGAAGAGGTTTGGGGATCCCATTCTGTTGGGTGCTTTACTAATGAGAGAAAACAATTCTTGTTGAGAAAAATTAAAATGAGATGAGTGGGAGTTCAGCTAGTAGAGCAGGTTGGAGACATTTAATAAAAATAGGAGCACAAGGTTGTACACACTCATAGTTCGCACAGTTAGCGTGGCTTTTTTTATTGAAGAAAGATGCTTTGTTGTATAGTCGTGTATTCTTGACAGCTGTGTTACTCTTTTCTGCTAAGCCTAGCCATTTTTTGTTGGAAGTACAAAAATTTAAAATGTAAAGGAAGGAAACATTTCAGAAATGGGACTATGACTATGAATTTGGAAGAGTAATTGAAGTCAGTGTATTGAAAGGAAAAGTAATAGTGAAGCCAGCAAAACTAGCTTTAGAAGAAATACTGGTAATAGTCCTTTAAATGAAAATGCTTCAAGTTAGGTGCTGTCTTCTGTGTACTCCACCCACCACAGTAAATACAACTCTAGTGGTAATTTTACCCTTAACCTGCTCCAAATTTGATAGAGTTGACAGAGATGGTATTTTTCCCTATCTTTGTTAGGCACAATGTCAAGAAGTACGGAAACGGAAAGAACTTGAACTTCAAATACTGACAGAAGCTATCCGTTGTTGGGAGGGAGAGGATATTAAAACACTTGGCACTGTGATTTACATGTCCCAGGTCATGATTCAGTGTGCTGGAAGTGAGGTAATGTCCTTCTCATCTTTACTGTTGGTCTTTCTTTCAATTTGAATAAAATTAATTATAATTATTATGCAGCAGAAATAAACGGAATGCTTCAGAGATACTAATCGAGACTAAAATCTTTTTCTACTGATTTAAGACTTTTATTACAAAACGTAAAATAAATTTCCTTGAGGATGGGTGGTCTCATGCATAAAACTTACTGGAACGTAACCAAATATAGCAGTTATAAGCATTGTAAGATGATTTTGCAGGATTTTTTTCAAAGTGCGTAACAAACAGGATTTCCCATGTTAAGTGTCAGGATCATTTTGCATAGGAGTTGTTATGGCATGTTTTAAATAACAAAAACTTTCAGGTTTTATATTGTAAGGTGTCCAAGGCACATTTTTTTTCTCACTGTTTTGGGCACTTTGCTCAAGTAGTAAATTTTGAAATATAAGCTTGAGAACCAAGTGGTTTTGGAGGAATAAAAAGAGACATTACGACAGTTGAAGGTGACACTGCAAAGTCTGGGGTGATCTTTTTAAAAACAAACTAGATAAACAAAACATACAAAGAAAAGGTTGTCCTACCAGAAATATTGTTAAAATAATCTTAGAAGCAAGTGCTAACAGAAGGGAAATGTTATACAGATTACCGACATGTTTTCACTGTCAGTTGTTCCCCTGTAAAATCAATGGAGCTTTGAACCTGGTGGGGGCTTTGAATTGCAGCCTCATTCAGTCAGTTTCCTCCCTTAGAACAAAGATGTCCATAAATATGAGGAAAGAAGAAAGCATTTATGCAACTGAATACTTCAAAAATTCGTCACCTGATATTTTTCTGTGAGATATTTTGTTAGGTGTTAAAATAAATCAGTAAGATTCGATAGAGCTGATAGTGCGTCTTCTGCAGTCAGGTCTCTTCCTGTAGTCTTAAAAACAAAACACCACACCACCCTCCACTCTGAGCTAAAATGTCAAATGTAATGGACTTTTAGAAGTTTCTGCGTAGCATTAAAGCTTTTTGACTAGATACAGAAAAGCTTGGTTTGTGCAAAAACAATTGGTTTTGGTTTTATCTTTTTTAAATGATACAGACATTTGTAAATGTTTACTGAAAAACAGATAGAAACATTAAAACTTTGGAAGGACTTGGATTGTTTCGCTAAGATGCTTGACATTGGGATGGTGACTTTGTCAATGGATATATTTGTTTTGTCATTAAAATTAATACATACCTTAATGATTCTCTTTGTTGTTGTTTGTCTATAGTGGTAGACTATAGACAAACTTCTTCCATAAAAATACTCCCGAAACAAAGCCACAAAGGACAACTTCATAAGTGAAACCAGCAAATAAAAACAAAAGAAAGTAGTGAGTGGTTTTGTTGCAAATATAAGCCTTTTTACTTTTCTTTTATATTCTTTTTCTACTTTGGGGCACAATCCAACATCATTGAAAAATCCAATCTCTCCAATTTGAGAGACCACGGTCTTGACATGACTGTAACAGCATCCATCTAAATTATATTAAGAAGTATATCACATGTGTAATTTTGACTTTGCTGCAACCAGCAAAACAGTTGTTATTGTATTAAAGAAGGTCAGTATTTCACTCAGACTGTAAAATTTCTGTTTTAAAATATTAGGCTGTACTCTCCAGGAAGAAGTATTGGCTGGTGTTACTAGCACTTTTCAAATAAAAAATGAAATAATTTGGGCTTTTTCTTAATTCTAATGGAGAGTTAATTTTGCCAGGAGCAAATATTTGTGGAGTAATTATGGAGTTGTAACATTGATGGTAGTTTTTAATAATACAAAACAGAAAAAGTGAGTAGAGGGCTTGTGGTGTTATATTTACTTTTTCATGTTCTTTTTTTTGATAAGGAGAAGAATGAAAGGTATCTTCTTCTCTTCCCTAACATTTTGCTGATGTTGTCTGCCAGCCCGAGAATGAGTGGGTTTATCTATCAGGTAAAGTAATGCATGTACATATGTGTGTAAATGTATTGAGCGGTGGGTTTTTTCTAAATAACTGTTTCTAAATAACTGATTGTTAAAATTCTGCATTTATAAAGATAAAAAGTAATTTCTGCAATAAGAACGGGTCATCTGTGTTATAAAATTCTGGGCTAGAAGCCTGGGTATGATTTTTTTTTTTTTTTTTTTTTATTTTTTAGCAGTTATCAGCAAGGGATTTTTTCACCTTGTTAGTAGTAGCTAATGAGAGGAAGTGTCAGTAGCTTTTTAGATCTACATAGGAAAATTATACGGGTTTGTTAGTGCTCTTCCAACTGCTGCTCAAGTCTTACCAAAACTACACAGCACTCCTAAGCTTGCCTCTGTTTCTTTAGCTGTGTCTACATTAGTGTTTTATCTTTGAATGAACAGAGCACTTTTGAAATGAATCTTCTAGTTTTCCCTATTCTAGTGATTTTTGAGTCACGGTGTAGAAGTAGTCTCAGGGCTCACAGGCTGGATTCCCTCTGGATGAAGCTGAACTGGAAGGCATGCTCCAAAAGTGCACTTGATCTGCTACAACTACTGAAGCAGATCAAGTACATGGACTGGCACTCAGTCCATGGCCCCAGCCTAGAGCTAGCCCAGCGTAACACCCCCTGAAATGCGTGCAACGTGGCCTTCAGGTCTTTAGCACCAGGTGTTTCACTTCAGAAAGCCACGACTTGCTGCTGGTAGACATAGTCTTTGAGCTCTCAAGCAAGTTTCCTGGCTGAGTACTTCTTGCCTGTTTCCCCACTAGAGAAATAGAGCAGCTCTGCTATAGTGCAGGAGAATCAGTGCTGATTGGATTGGCTTTTCTAGGACACATTTTGCAGAAGCACCTGCATTCTGGGTCTGTAGTTTCAAAGACTCCTCAGAGGTGAAGTTAAAGTAAATGCACAGTGCGTGAGTTTCTGAATTCTTTGTAAACGTTCTTCAAGTATTACGTGACTTACAAACACCACATTAAAACACCATAAGTTCTAAAAGAAGCCTGCTGTATGTAGTTTGGTAAACCAAGCTCTCGAGCAGTTTGTTCCTTCTCCTGAGCAGTGATTTGTCTGCTGTGAGGGAATGCTGGAGCACAGTCATTCGGGGTTCCTACCGGATTGGCTACATCCAGTCACACATTGTCCTGGTTTGTGGTAAAACAGGACCAATTTTGATTGGAACTTTTTTTAGAGCAATTGAATTCCAAAATTCATTTTTGAATTTGTATCTTACCTGCCATGGTAGTATTTGCATTTGTCTGAGACTGTGTTGCATTAGGTCGTTCAAATGCACAATCAAATTTCTCTTCGCTTTGTGCTGCTCATCAGAATTTTTGGCCAGTGCTTTATCATAACATGGGTGGAAAAAAGATACTAGAAAAGGCAGGTGACCTCTGTATCTCAAGTGGCTTATCCAGAATTTCTGGTGAAAGAAAAATTCTTGTGTACTGGTTACAAAGGCAACTGACTGGAAATACAGTGTGTTAACAAAAAATGTGAAATAAACAATGAATCTGTCAGGCTTGATTTTACTCTTCCTTTGTACACCACATCTCTTTCTCCTTTCTCTCACCTTGTCTGCCAGGTGCACAGCGTTGTTCAGTAAATAAGCAATTTCCTGTGTGTTTGTTTCAGTTTCTGCGCAGTATTGCCACAGCCCAACTTAATGTTTGCTGCCCAACCTTCTGTTGAATGCAAAACTCTTAATTCCCTTATCTCTCACATGATTTTCCCAGCACTGAGAACTTCTCAAATATTAATGACTACATACTCACAACAAAGCAAAATTATTTCATCGCTCTTTGTGTCTGTCTGGATTGTGTAACGTGAGCTGCCTGGGCTTTTCTTGTGAGGTATTTGTCTCGGGACTGGGATGGATACAGACAGAAGATGATGCAGCTCCCTGAGCCATTCCCAGGGAAATGATGCCACTGGAGTCTGCATCCTGCACTACACCCTCCCTGTGTTTCTGAATATTCCAGTTATCAACAAGCTTCAGATGTTCTGGTTGATAGTGCTGATACCTGCCACATGAGCTAATTAGGAGGACTTTTAGCAGTGGCAAACTGAAGTCACAAGGGGCAGACAAATCATACTTTACAGGATGGCTTTGCAATTTTGTTGGAACGTAAATAATTCATGAGTTCAGCTCCATTTTCTCTGTGTTTTGCTGACTTCGTACTTTTTCTCTCCATGTGGCTCATGTGATCCTTGTTCTCTGTCACCAGTCTTTTGCTCGGTGTGTCCTCATACTTCCTTTTCGCCTATGTTACCAGTTCTTGCACCTCTCTCAGTGTGGCTGTATGCTCTGTGATTCATGAACCAACAAACACCAAAAAACAGAAGAGGGAATTTTAGGCTGCTTTGTAGTGCATGATGCCACCATGTTTTTCCTTCAGTGGGGAAGCTGTTGCAAGAAAACTCTTCCTTTTTCTTTGGCATCTTGGGCTTGAGCATGCCCTGTGCATACAGAATACCAAGTGATTTCTAGTTTCCAAGCTTCTAAGAAATCTTTGTCCATTCTGCAGTCATTAGGAAAGAAAAAGAAGAAAAAAAAAAAACAAAACCAAACCAACCCCAAAAAAGTTGTTGGTTTGTTTTGTTTTTTTTTCCTCTCTCTCCATTGGAGCCAAAATTCCACAGTACATAGTATTTGTGCTTTTGCCAGCATGTGCTGAATAGAGTTTCTGTGCAGGAGAATACAGGATCTATCTTGAAGAACTTTAATAAAAGTTGTATTTTTGGTAAAGCCTTTCATCCTGACAATATTCAGTTTTATTTATTCTTCTGCATTTCTAAAGGGTCAAAAAGTTATCCTAAACTGACTTTTTTTTCTTTCAGTTTGACAGGGTTTAAAATGAGAGATTATCTTCTGCAAATGTTCTTTTGAACCATTACAAATTTAAAGGTGTTTTTACTGCTTTTGTTTTCTTTCCCCAAATATTTCTGTGAGTGAATTTAATAGAGGGGTTATTAGAGACATAAATCTTCAGTAAATAATTGATGCATTTGTTTAGTGAAATCTTCCTTTCTAATTTTACTTGTACCACAAACCTTATTTTGAGAGCTAATCAGCCAGTTTGCCAACATGCTTAAAGATGAGTCACGGTTGCCTCTAGGCGTGCGTGTCATATTGGATGACCCTGAAGGTCACTGTTCCAAGGGGCTCTGATGAATGACCACTATTTTATTTGTATGGATTTCATAACCTGCATAGGTATGAAATAGACTCATTGAAATCACAGGTGTCATTGACAGAAGTTGGCCCTATCAAAAAGTTCCAATATGAGGTGTTTGTGTGGATTTTTAAATGTTTTCAAACCCATCAGTGTGTGTTTGCCAATTCACTGTGTGTGTCTCTGTTCAGAGCTTGAAGTTTACATATTCTTTACTTGGTAATGTTTTTGTGTGTGTTTTGGATTTCCAACTTCAATGTTACTGGTTTGGTTTTTTTTTTTTAGGGAAAACTGCCAACGACAGGAATGACTATTACAAAGCTAGAAGACAGTGAAAACCATAAAAATGCATTTGAAATATCAGGTATTGGCCATAAATATTTTTATTTACTACTTACTCCATGATATGCTATTTCAAACATAAAATGTTCTATCTGAACAGATGTATAAGCTTTCATTGTGAGGGTGACCAAGCACTGGCACAGGTTGCCTGGAGAGATCTCCATCCTTGGAGATACTCAAAAGCTGTTTGGCCGCGGTTCTGAGCAACCACGTATAGGTGTCTCTGCTTCAGCGTATGGGGGGCAGATGACCTACAGAGGTTCCTTCCAGCCTCAACTGTCCTGTGATTATACAAGTTTTGTAAGGCAGATGCCCAGAGCCTTATTTGAAAGCTGCTTTTTACTTCTTGTCTTAAGCAGTTAACAAACTGTCTTTGCATGAGGTTCATCCCCAAATTCGGTATTTTAATGAATGGAGGCAGTAGCCTTGGAGGAAGTCCTTTATAATGAAGCAGTCCAAGGTGTGCTACTCACTGGAATACGAGAAATTCCAGAGGCTCTGGAAGACCTTTAAGCAAGAGCTTTCTTCTAGAAATGGTCCACCTCTTTCTTGAGAGGCCTTTAGTGTCTTTGCTAATGATGATTACCGTTGTGCTTACGTTGGGTAATTTTAGTGTGTTAAATTATTTGTTTCAGCATGTACCTTATTTCCTTGGGGATTTAAAGGACAGTGGGAGCAGGGTCCACATGGTGGAGCTTTATACCTTCAATCATTTCCTGGGTCAATTCTTCGGCCTATCTGGTTGCGTTTAAGTAAAGTAATTTTGACCCTCTCAAGTGGCTGGCAGTATCACACATCAGTGCTCTGAGGCAGAGGGGAAAAAGCTGTTGATGGTGCATGTTCTTCTGAGATAAGTTATGAAGCTGACCTCAGATGAGGAATGTGACAGATAAATAGAGTTAACTGAAGGAATTAAAGTAATCTTTGGTTAATCTTCCCGCTCGTTTCCCAGCTGACTTTTGCTTCAGCTTTAATATCAGATTCAGACCAACTTTATGCCTTTTTCAAAGAGAAGATCAGTAAACTGTATTTTATAACTTTTCCTGTGTTGTAGCTTACAGACTCAAGAATGACATTTTAGGCTATATGCTGGCTTTCCTGGGGAAGATGGAGAAGCGTAAGGCTACTAGATAAGCCTGTCTCCTACATCTATTTCATATCATTAAAGGTTGTCTTCAGTTATTACAGGTGGGGAAAAAAGGTAGAACTCCTGTGCTTGGCACAGGAACAAATACGTGGAGGAAATATCTCTTACAACCTGGAAAAGTGAGATTGCTGAAAATACAAGTTAAAATTTTTGCTTAGTACTTAGGGGATATAATGTTTTAGGAAATTAGTGTCTTTATGATCATGTCAGATTGACTAAGTTGTTTTTCTGTGGTTTCCTACATCTTCTGTGTTCTATCACCTAGGAAATATGATTGAAAGGATACTAGTGTCTTGTAACAACCAGCAAGATTTGCATGAATGGGTGGATCATCTGCAGAAGCAAACCAAAGTCACAACTGTTGGGAATCCCGCCATTAAACCTCACTCTGTGCCATCTCACACAGTAAGAAGTAGCTTCTGGATCGAAGTAAATGAGCAGTGTATGCAGAGTTAGGTTATCTGGCAAATATACCACCATGTAAAGCATTTTTTTAGCCACTAGTAATGAGAACTGAATGTTATGACTGTAGTTTAATGGGTCAAAAAATCTTTCTGTTTTTAATTGTGTGAACAAAGAATAAAATGCTTAGATCTTGGTGTAATAGTTTAATGGGGTAAAAGAAATTTCATTATCATTACTTTTTCTATTTTGACCAAGTAATACCTCACCATCTTTTAAGTATACTTAAAACAGTAGGTCTTAATTGGTGATACACTTGACAGGCTGTGTAGAAACAATTTCCTTAAGTACCTTCTTTTGGGTACTGCATTGGAGTTGTTGGATATGAATGGATCTAAATTTAGTTCCACCCTCAGTGGCGAGAAAAGTGGGAGTAGGGCTGCTCGTAGCTGTTCTAGTGACTGCTCTGTCTGTGGTAGACGATAAAAATTTCTTAAGCTTCATTTTTTCCAAACAATAATTTAATGTCAAAATTTTCAAAGGTCAGCTGTAATAAACAGAGGCACTAGGTAGCGAGGGAGATTATTTCTCCGATCCGTGATGATAGTATGCCTTTATTATGATAATATGCTTTCTTTCCCTTCCCATCACCTCTGTGTCTTTGACAGCTTCCTTCCCATCCAGTAACACCCTCCAGCAAGCATTCAGACAGCAAGCCAATACCACTGACTCCTGCATACCACACTCTCCCTCATCCGTCACATCATGGGACTCCACATACCACGATAAACTGGGGACCTCTGGAACCTCCGAAAACCCCCAAGCCTTGGAGTCTGAGCTGCTTACGACCTGCACCTCCATTACGGCCTTCAGCAGCTCTCTGTTATAAAGAGGTGAGATGCAGCAGCCAAGAAAAATGACTGTGTAGCAGGTCTGCAATGGGAAGTTTAACTTTCTTTTTTACACACCACCATTTTACAGTTTGGTGCATGCTTTTATATAAATGTGATTTAACAGCCAATGCTGAATTAATGATAACGGACTAGTGAATGCTGTTTATTTCAAACGGGGATTTAGTCTTGGCAGCTGCGAAAATACTAAGACTCGTTAGGAGAGGCTTCTACCGCCTCCCCCAAGTGCTTCCACTTCTTTGTACACTTTATCCAGTTAATAAGTAAGAATTTATTTATTTTTAAAACTAGCAGTTCCTTTAAGTTGATCATCCAGGCTTATTGCAAAGTAAGTTATTTGCTAAGCACACTGCAAGGTATAATTGACTCGTGGTTCCTCAGTATTTACCACCGTTACTAGGTAACAGTAACTGTCAAAATGTGCAATGTTTTTGTACTCAAAAGAATCTGATGGCCAATGTTACTATTGGCAAAAAAAAAAGCTTTGATTTTAAGATGCTGCTCTAGTTTTTAATTAGCATATGATATAAATCAGGAATCTGTTCCAAGAGAAATAAAATGTGGTGGTTTTAACCACAAAAATGTGGTAGCGGTAGGTTAGTTTGGTCCTGCCACTACATTTTGTGTGTTTTTAAAATAGTGAGAAAATGTTAGATTTGTGTTGGAAGTCTGCGCATATGTGAGGAGAAGAATACTGGATGCTCTGTGGCTTGGTGATACTGCCTGTTTCAGTATCTTTGTCATGAGTTCTTATGATGCTAATTTAGCGTGAAGCAACAGGGCCCAGAAAGAATCATGCAGTTATGCCTAAGAACATTTGATTCTGCTGGTGTGAGATGTTGGCAGAAAAATTTTATTTTGCAAACATATAAATTGCGGTTTCTTAGAAACAGTAGCCTGGCCACTGTGCCCCAGTGTGGCCTGGCTGTCTTTTTTTTTTTTGTGGTGGCTGTGTGTGTGAGCCTTTTTTTTTTTTTTTTTTTTTTTTTTTCTTCCCCCCCTTTTCTTTTGTACATCCCCTAAACAACAGGGAAAAAGTAATAGGTGATCTGCAATTGGAAGGTTAGTATTTAGGCTTAGTTGCTACAAGAGGTTCTTCTGTTTGGCTGTACTGTATGCTCAGTTTGTAATCTAAGTTAAATTCCTTTCATGTTTTCATGAACTAAATCCTCCAATGTGGTAAAAATTTCAATAATCATTACAGTGTTTAGCATACAGTGATGTTCAAAACCTATATTCATCTTCTTTGGTCTGTCCTGCTCATTCACCTTTTTACTTTCTTGTTCTGTATTTTTATAGAGGATGTCTTGTATCCTTAAGGTAAGGGGCAGACCAGTATATTCCTTTTGTTCCTGTAACCTAGCATTGTTCCTGTAAATTAGCATGACCACATTTTGAGCAGAAATGCTGTATTTGTTGCTGTATTTTTTTTTTTCTGTAGAGATTTGTAAGAACAGACCTACACATTCACAAATTTTGGCTTTAAAGAGTATACTACCTGTCAAGCTTCCTTGTTAGGTCCTTTTTTTACCTGCTTCTAAGTAGACAAGTGAAATGGGTTGTCTCTTCAAAAATTAAGGAAAAAAAAAAAACTGTGTTAATGTATGCCTGCCTCTTCCCTTCACTTTAGCTCCCAAACAGCCTGCATGTTTTTGCAGCAGCTTTTCTGTATATTTCTGTTAATAGAACAGATAAAACGTCTGCCTTTGTGTATAGTTGGAGGAAGGGTAGAGAGTAAATCAGCCAGTTCAGGCAAATCGGATGTGCCAAAAAATATTAGTAAACTGAATTTTGGTGCTCTTAAAAGATTTTTAGTTAGTAACTCCTGTACGCATCTTCGAAGTTAAACTTTGAAATATTGTAGAGAAGCTCTACTCTTTTTTTATTTTCATTTTCCCCTCACAGGATCTCAGTAAAAGCCCTAAAACCATGAAAAAGCTGCTTCCCAAACGCAAGCCAGAACGGAAGCCATCAGACGAAGAGTTTGCACTGAGAAAAAGTAAGAAAGACTTGAACAAATGTCTGCGTAATACAAAGGTTGGAATTAACAACGGCATAAATTCTGTGAAAGTTAGCTGTACAGTGTAAGCAAGTCATCTGGTTTCCTCTCTCCTGTCAGGGGAGAGAGGGTAGGTATCTCCAGAGGATGGTTTGTGTAATTCATTTTAGGTGCTTTTGTCGTGATAGGGTTAGTTGCTTTCTAGAGCCTTACTGTTGACCACAGTTGATGTATGCTCGTGAAGTGCCTGTTGATATCTGTTTGCTGCGGGGGGAAGTGAGGGTGACTATAGAGCTATGTAAAAGTCAGTAAGGCAAACCTGTCTTTTAATACTTTAAACAACAATTTGAGGATACTGTCCCACTCTTGCAGATTACTTAGTAGCTGTGTTCTTAAATTGACCATGGTAGGAGCTTCTGCTTGAGCTGGGTATTGGAAAGTTGGCTGGTTTGAAGACTAGTTGCTTCTGCAGTCACTTTTCGTAAGATCAACAGTCTGCTCTAATCTCTTAGAAATAAGGTCATTTGCTAGTGTCTTTGAATAAATTGCAGAGCTGTAGACTACTTAAAGTCTGAAGAACAGCACTGAACCAAGAGTTTGATGACTATACAGGAAAACAGAAGGGTCAAAATCTGGATGTTGGGATAATTTGGGGTGCAGGGAACATTAACGTTATCAAGCGAACACAATATTCACTTAGTTGTCAGTGTCACTCTGGTTCTTCCTTAGAAATTTGTGTGAATAACCCAGTTACTTTTTATCCATAAAAGACAGCTTATTTAAGCTGAAGGCCAGATTCTTCTACAGCAACTCTTGCTTCTCTGTGTCTGTCCTTTGCTCATGGGCTTTTTAAGGTGGAGACTGCGCCTTGAGCGTTCAAGGCTTGAAGTGTGTTACTGTGAACATTGTCTCTCACTGGTTTATGTATGGTTGGAGAGAAGAAGCTTTTCCTCAAGGCACTGTTGATTTGTCGAAGGTGGAGGTCTTTCTGAGTGTGCTGTGAATCTCATATGGCAAAGGTTAAGGTAGCAAATAGAAAGATCTTGTGTTCATGGATGCGCAAGTAGATGTTTTAGTTCAGGATGTTTTGTCCTTACAGGAAGGTATCTGTTTGGGAAAAATGAAAGTACTACAATACAGTATGATTTGAGATGCTGAAGGATGGAGATTCAGTAGTTGTAATGACAGAGGTAAAGCTGTCAACTTGCAGATTTAGGAATTACTAAGCAACACTTAGTGAGAGGAGATGAGAGTTCTTTTTTTGGGGAAGCAGGGGGTGTGTAGTTTGCAAATATATTGTTTTACTCCTGATTAAATTAACACCTTTCAGTATTTTGTATGTAGGCTACAACTTTCAATGAAAGGGATTTTGGGTGGCTTTAAGTCAGAGTGTTACTTACAGAAATACTTACTGATTCTTGATATTCACCTCTTGCTCACAGTGCGTCAGTAATTAGAAGCTTCTGCTATATGTTAGTGCTTCTTCAACCTGTTCCTGCTTGTGGAGCAGTAATAGTTTTCCACTGAGGAACTTCTGTCGAACTTAAAGCTCATTGATAGATAAGTTTGGGTTTTATTACTTCTGTTCTCTGGAATCCCAGGGATTTATGGGCTATGTTTTGGGAACTGCTATATCAAATTAGTATTAGAACATACAAACTGAAATAAGTAAGGTATTTCAACTGAGTACCCTCACAATAATCATTTCAGACATGAAATATATTTCCTGCTACTGTAATAATGTGGTGCTGCATTCTAACCACAACGAAATCCAATTACTTCTTCTGCCTTGAAAGAGAAATAACCTGTACCTTGGAATATCTGTGTCTCTTGAACTGTGGGGAAACTGTATCGGGTCAAGATAATTTCTTCAAGAGTTAGCTTGGACGTTGGCTTTGTTCTGGTGATAATAAATCAGAACAACTAACAGGATGCATTGGCTGACAAAGAATACTACTATGTTTTGATTTTGAAGGCAGTTCAGATTCATGCAGCAGAAAATTTTCAAGTCTAGTTTTTTCCTCAAGGAGGAAAACAGGAAAAATGCTTCTTAAACAACAAATTGTCTTTCCCCACACATAGACTCCTGGGTCCATCTAAACTAACAGTAGAGCTGCCTCTAGATTTCAGTTTGATTGGAATTTCACTCTGTTGCAAGTGAACAACTTGAGTAGTTTTTTTTACTGACTTCCCCAAGGAGAAGATTTGCTGTGGAGCTCTTTGGGAAAATTTTGCCATGTTAAGCTTGAGTAGTTACATTTCTTTCAGTAGTGCTGTTTCTACTTTAAAGGCTGAGAAGTTTAATTACTCCACTTGTGGCTATCACGTGGGTATATCTGTGAAATCTTTCCTACTGCACGCTGGACTGAAATTATACTGATGTATTTATTATGCTGTTAATTCTGAGTTTAATTTTCAATTGGGTGTTGTTACCTCTTGGTAAATCTGATACATATGCAAAATCAAAAAATTTTCAAGATTTCGTTTCTGTGAATTAATATGCTGTTCCTTTATTTCTTTAATTAAATAATGCAATAATATGTATATAGTAACTGGAGTGTACAGTTTTTTTCAATTTATTGGCTGTTTGCTTGGGAACCAGAGTGACTGCACTTCAAAACATGTTCTGTGCAACTTCAGATGCTCAGAAAATTTCTTGAATGTGCAGGTAGTTACTCTGACTTGGGTTTATTTCCCCCATGCATTTCCAATTAGTATTTTTTCTTTTTAAACTGTTACTTTTGCTCATTGAAGTTTGATTTATTTTTTTTAAATGAGATTATTAAGAGAATTTTAAAGGTTTGATTAGGCTGAACTTTGGTTTCAACTGAAATGTAGTGATTTACAAAGGCTTTTCTGTATTAAGAAACATAACCATGTTTAAAATTCTATTTTTCCCATTGATTCTAGGTACAGCTGCTTTAGAAGAGGATGCTCAAATTCTTAAAGTCATTGAAGCATATTGCACAAGTGCCAAAACACGTCAAACACTAAATTCAAGTAAGTTAGAAAGTACTGAAATGGCTAACTAAAACACAATTAGGTGGTTTGCAAAAAAGACAGGCATATGTTCTCAGGCCTTTGCAAGTAGCAAGCTGGACCTGGAAGAAATAACTTGTTTCTAGCTTAATATCAGTGTTTAAGTATTGGATACCAAGCACCGTGGTTAGAGACTATAATTCTTTCAGTGTTTTAAATAAAACAAACAAACAAACAAAAAAACACTAAAAAAACCCCCAACCACCAAACCCAAAAGTGACTACTTGTTATGGTTTAAAATTGCACAAAATCTTCACTAATGAATGAGAGGTGTCTGAACTGAGTATGACAGTTGATCAGTATGCCTTCTGGTAAATTTGAAGAAGCTGGTAAGTAGTGAGGGGGAAGAAAGAAGTTGTCACAATTTTGGAGGAGTCTGTTTTTGTCTTGTTCTGTTCAACAAAGACTTCCGTTATGGAAAAGTAACCTAAACCTATAAAAGTTAACTTTTATTGCCACTAGTTGTTTTTAGTGTTAATTACAAATTTTAATCCCATGTCATAATTTCTGGAGAAATTGTTCTCAGATCTGTGTGTTGCTTAAAGCCATTTTTAGTTTCTCAGATCAATACCTAGCTTATTGAAAACCTGTAACGTGCCTCTGGGGTCCTACTTCATTTAATCCAAATCGAGATTGCCATGTGGAGTTCCTCTGTATTGTAAGTAAAACATTGCGCAAAGCAGGGGAGTCCACCAGCATGTGTTCCATTTACACAGGGAAGGAGAAAATGCTGTTGTGTTTGTTCCGGTTTGCACAGTTTTTGCACTGTTGAATACTGATTTAATTCAGGGATCCTTGGAACACAGTATAATGATCCTGAAGTACTTGGCTGGTTTTGCTGTTGTCAGGAAATAGAAGAGTGGATGTTATAACTTACTTCTTGTCCACTAAAGCTATTTAAATTTGCGGTATTAATCACTGTCACTGCTACCCACAGCGCTCTGTGCCTGTTTTGCTTCCAAGCAAAAGCACTTTATGCTGACAGTTGAGAAGTCTCAAAATGCGGTTGCAAACTTAGTTCATGGATTTTCCTAAGATGTGTTCACTTCCTATTATCACCTTGAAAAAAATGCAACTACTTTGTATTCATACATACTTTTAAATGGGAATATGGCCCTTCTATAAGACTATAGAAACTCTTGAAGTCACAGTGAAAACCTTAATTTTAATTTTTCTGTCTTGGTGAACTATAAGTCTCCAAGGTGATAAAATTAGCTACTATTACATAATTTTTTATTAATACTAATCTATTTTATAGCCCTAGAGTTATTACAGTAGTGTGTTTAGTTGGATAAAAGGAAATAAATGTGTTCAAAATTTTGAAGATATACTGTTGTTCCAAACAAAATTAAATGAGGTGGTTGCTTAAATGTCTCGACTGTGATCTTTTGATTATTTCCAAGGACAATGTGACAAGAAATGGTTGGGGAAACACTTGTATACTTGCACAGTGGTGTGTGTGCAGATATAAAATGGATATGATCTTTTTTTTTTTGCTTTTTTGCCTATTTTTTTCCTTTCTATGTATATTTAAGAAATATACATAGTCTTGTGAGTATCATTGCATACATCAGAAATCAGCAGCTTTTATTTGCTCTTAATTGCAGCAAGAAACATTTTTTTTTTTATTGATTAAGCACACACAGCTGCTTTGTTTGGTAAGAATAGTATTGTCATCTAAGACTTTAGGTTTCAGGAGATCCATTTGTAGACTGGAAGTAGAAATGGGGAAAAAACCAATCACGTTGGAATTGCATCTGTGGGAGCAGTAGTCAGTGTAGAAGAACAAAATGAGAGAGTTGCCTGTCATCCATGAAGTACGCCCTTTCTTACATATTCCTTCCTTACCTCTGTGATTCTGCCTGTCCCGCACAGCACTCATGTGGCAGTTCTCCTACCTGCACCTTAATCCAGAGCCCCAGGGGTGCTGCTTTTGGCAATGTCAATTCAACAGAGCTGTGGCACCAGTGGAATGTGGCAGGCAGTGGCATTAGAGGTAGCAGAGCAACTTTTTTCTGTTGTTTGGGTGGTGAAGATGTGGGGTTTAATTTGGGGAGACAGGTGCAAATAGAAGAATAGAGTTTCACTTTCTCCTGCTTCTTATATACTCAGTTTATTTCATGTTTCTACTCCAAATGGAGGCTTAAAATTTTTTGCAATATCTTGTGTATGGTGGCTCATAGAATGGCTACTTACGTGGTTTCAATCCTCAGATATTGCCAGGCCCAAAAAAAAAGAAAAAAAAGAAAAAGCGTCCTTATAAAAAAAAAAAAGAAAAAAGAAAAAGCATCCTTAGCTATGTTTGATCCCTACCTTAGCCGTCTTAAAGTATTTAATTGGGAAGATAGATTCAGATAGAGGCTCGTAGGTGTGTGAGGAGTTGGAACAGACCAGACTGTGTTGCTGTTAGTCTCTTGGCCCTGTTTTTCTGTGAGTTAACTTACTACATAGTTAAACAAAT